TAATCAGATCAGCAACATCTTTCTCCTCCAACAAACCCACATCTAATCTGAAAGGTTTTGCCCTCATCTTAACAAACCAGTATTCAGTAAGATAGGGAGATGATCAGAAGAAAGTCTAGGCAAAGACTTGACAGAGGCCATGGGAAATTCTTCTAACCAATCCATTGAAATAAAAAACCTATTTAACTTGGACATAGATAGATTAGTACTACTATTATTAGATCTAGTAAACTTAAGTCCAATAATATGAAGGTCCATAAAAGAGTTGCTTTCAATAAACCTATTAAACATCCTCATTGATGTATTAATAGAAGTTCCTGCTAAGTATTCGTCCATCCACCGAATAAGGTTAAAGTCCTCTCCAACCACTATATGAAAAAGAAATGAATGAATAACATAGTCCAAATCATTACGAAAATCTTCTTTAAGAGCAAGCACAGACTGCCCATAAACATTAAAAAAGCCTCAAGAAAAACCCAATTTTCGACCATGAAACCCCAAAAGCAAAAATCTATGCCTTATAATAATCTCAAAGTTTTGAAGAACCAAAAGATCCCATAACACTCATAACCCACTAGATGCACCACTCGCATCAATTCCACAGAAACCAACAACACCAGCTCCCCAAACCTCCCTAGCCTCAGAACTAGGGAGTTTGGTTTCCTATAAAATCAAAATCACCGGTTTATACTTAGAGACCAACTATATTACATCCCTTTTTCTACTGGGGTCACCCAAACCCCCTACATTTCAAGTTAAAAAGTTCATTTGAAAACTAAAAGGATAAAGGTTAGAGGAGGAACCTGGTCCATCAGGCCTAGTGCCAAAATACAACTCCTGCAACATAAGAGCTTCATTCAGCGCATCATCTTTAGGTGAAGATGTCGAAGAAGAATCCACATCCACCAATGTCGAGTCCTAGAAAGAAACAGTTGCAGCAATCGAACCTCCTTTAGGGATGCCACGGGCCTCAAGTTTATCTAACGAATGGACACTATTTAAAGCAGCCTTGTACTTCTTGATAAGAGCATAATCTTTGGAAGGGGTCTTAGAGGTAAAGACAATATGCTTGGCTTGGCTTTTACCAGTCTTTCGGGCTGGCACCTCCCCTTTATCAGCAAAAATCCTAGCTCTTCTGTGCTCCTTAATATCCTATGTAACCACGCTTAGAGGAACATCATCCATACCCATATCATCCATCATCTTTTCCATTAAAGAAGGGTCATTCACAAGCATCTCCTCAGAATGCGGCCCCGAGATAAGTGATGGAGGAACCTCCATCTGAGGTAGGACATTCAAAGGCAATGCCACATAGGACTCAGTCAAAACTAATTCCGGTTAAGAAACGTCTTCCTCCATATGATGGGTCTCATCAGCTAAAAACAAAGGACTCAAAGGAACTTCCTCTAGTTCTATAACCATAATAGCTAAAGGATCGATAAGCAAAGGGTCAAACTGAGTTCTAGTTTTCTTTGCCTGACCCTTGGCTGCTGCCAAATGAAAAGGAAGGGGATACATCTTCAACTACCAGAAAACAACCACAACAGCCACAACAACCTCTACTATAAACACTATACCGAAAGCTTCTTTTGAGTAAGAAGACTCATAAGAGAAACCAGAACCAAAAGAAAAACCAATAGTTTCTTTTCAATTCTACTTCTTTCCAAAGGCGGGAGAGAGAAAAAGAATTTTTTAATTGAAGTATATTAACCCCAGGGAAATCATGCACCACATACGCATTGCATTCTTTGTCAAAAATCCTCGCATCATGAAAATCTTTCTTGGGACTCAAACTTGCAGCCATTCCATCGGAAACTGAACCGATCCTCTGCAAAAAGGAAGGTAAACCCGACGAACCACCAGATTCCAAAGAACTTATAATCTATGTGCCGTTTAATGGAAATGCACACGTGGTCCCCGAGATCGGCGCCTCACTAATCTCCTCATCATTGTTGGTACACGCATTATAAACTAACTTATTACTGCTAATAAGTTATGAGATCCCAGCCGATGATTCTGGGAACCTGCTAATCGGAATCCATCGTTTAATGATCTTAAGAGTTACAAAATTTTGAAATTTGAATTTTCGATTGTTTCTCCTAGAATTACTCCTCGAATTCTTACGGCTGGACTTCTCGGAAAAAACACTTTCGATAGTCTTCTTCATCTTTTACGGCCTCTCATTCTTCTCAAACTTTTTGATCTCCTATGTAGAATCCATAACATGTTTTTGCGCCGATCTAGACACAGTTTCTGCATCATATGTAACTAAGATTTGCAAGAATTTTCCCAAAATTGGCAGACCAGAACATATCCAAATCTTAACACGCACATATAAGACTCAAAAAGGAATCCCAGTCCATATCCTTGTAGACCCCAATATGACCAGTCACATTTTTAATAATGGACAAATTCCAAGCATACAAAGGAAGACCCACAACTTTACCCAAACCGACTCCTTATGTAAAAAGGATCCATGATCTGAAGGCTTCCAATAATCTAAAGATAGTAGGCTTCTTCTGATTCTACGGAATCTATTGAATAGAGCATTTTGTACCTCCTCATTTGAACACAGTTTGAAAACTACTTTGTTTGTGCTAATAGCCTTAACGTCAGGACGGTAAGATAAATTCCAACCCCTCTATGCTTAGTCTGATAAGCCAAGAAATCAGCAATAAGAGGCGAGAAAGAACCTGACATGAAGAATTCCGATTTGATATCTAACTGCTCCCAAGCCACTCGATCCACCACAACCATTGGAGAGCTTGAATCCACCATCCTGACATTCTTACTGCCTTGCACATCTACATCCCTACCATCCAAAGCTTTCTTTCAATCCATGTCAATTTATCACATATTTTGGATTTCCAACATCTGAAAATGTTCGGGGCTATAAAATGAAATTTTTTGGACGTCAAACATCCAAAAGGCTAAAAACTAGATTTTGAAGATCCAAAAACAGAAATTTTTTTGATATTGATAATCCAAAAAGTTAGATTTCAGTTAGTTCACTCAAATATAGATTTTAGTTATTGAAAATCCGAAAAGGGCAATTTTATCACTTTTTAAAAGCTGATAAAATATTGTAATAAACAATAACATAAAATTTTAGGTAAAATTGCAATATCGAAAAGTATAATAGGTCTGTGTGAGATTTTCCCTTAAATAAACTAACCCTCAACTTCTTAAGTGGGATCATTTTAGCACTCTAATAATTTTATAAATTTGAGCCCTCTAATAATTTCTTAGATGGCTTTGGATATTTGACATTTCCTTGAGCAACGAGTTTAATACTTGCCAAAAGATTTCATACTTCCGTTGTAGTATACTATCTATTTACTCCCTTGGGAAAAATACACATTACGTAGGGGTGAAAATTGGGACCCATGGACCTAAGACCCGACAGGTAGACCCAGGTTCGAGTATGGGTTCAGGGGGTGGACCCCAAAGGTCAGGTTCAGGTCCATGTAGTCCCTCTCTTTGTTTTTTGCAGTGATCAAAAGATCGGCTGATTTTTCAAAAATGGGGAGACTAAATTGGGATCGGTCACTAGCCGATCTCGAGTTGGCCCGATTCCAAAGGTTATATATTCTGAAAGTTTCATACAGTGCATTAATCGGCTAATTTATTGTACTTATCGGCACAAATCGACCAATTTGTGTACAAATAAGCGATTTGTTGTATAGATTACCCAATTTGTGCATTGTTACAGTGAAAAATCTAACACTTGAAAAATCTTGAAAATTGACTGTCTAAAAATACATCACAAGATGGACTATTTTCAATACTTGGAATCTATTTTTTCTCATATCCATACATCTTGAGGTCGAGATGATCGATTTGAGGATTTTTTGGGTATCAAAATAACATTTTCTATTGGATTTTTGAGGTACGCCTTAATTTAATTGTTAACGGCCTCGCCCTTAAATAAATTTCTCCTTTATGTGTTTTAAGGGGTGTGGTCTGTATAAGGCTAAGGCTCTAAACAATCAAAGTAGGTGCATCTTCAAATAGTATTGAAAAACGTTGTTTTAGTACTATAAATCTTTGCTATGGCTTCAAAATTTATTTTTATATCTAATTATAAAATTTAAAGCTTGAAAAATAGTATAGATTGAGAAGATATATGAACACTTAAAAATCTTGAAAATTAACGGTCCAGAAAATACATTAGATGATGCACTATTTTCGAGACAAGAAATCCAATTTTTCTGATGTTTATATATCTTTCCAATACAAGAAATCCAGTTTTTCTTTTGTTTATATATCTTGATGTTGAGATGATCGATTTGAGGATATTTGAGCATCGAACAACATTTAATAGTGAATTTTTTATGTGTGCCTTAATTTGATTGTTTAGAGCCTCACCCTTATATAAACTTTTCCCTTATTTAAGTATACAATAACAACATATACTTTTTGTACAGTATGATCACAATCACCCTTAGCCATTAGATGCACAATTGGGTGACTAGGAGGCATACCTTTAACTACCCTCAAAGTCAAAGAAAAAGTTTCTTTAATATTGCGGCATACCCTTGGCCTATCAATTTCTCATCTAATTGCTAGGGATGATCATAATATTCTTATATCATGGACATGTGGTCTTGCATATAAATTGCTTGTGTCAATCATTTTATTAGATTTATTTTATCAATTCAATTGTTAATATCTTCAACCAGGATTCAATTTCTATTAGTATGTGACTAAAGTGCGACCATTGCTTTGAAGTTGTCCAACCTTTCTTTTTGGCCAAATAAATAGGTCAATCCATTTTCTTTTTTCTTGGGTAGTTCAATGGTAGGTATCAAACTTGAGATGCAACATTGTTAAATGGCAACCGCTAACTAATCAAGCCCAAGCCCAAGCCCGATATCTACATTGATATGGCTAAGTAACCATTATTAGGCGTGTAGTAGATATCAAGTGCACTATCATGAGAAAATATATGCGATCTTCATATGGGTCTTTTACATTTTGCCTAGCTGTCCTAGTCAACAATGGATGGTTAGTTGGTGCTCTTTCTCTGCTCAAAGTTGATTTCAATGATGGCATCGATGAGGACGACGCTGATGATGGGGAAATGCGAGATGATTGACGTGAGCCAACATTCGTAGAGCATGAGGTGCCGCAAGGTAGTAGTACTTTCATTGCGGAAGAACAGGGGCTACGATTAGTTCGGGAAGAAGTCGAGAGAGCTAGGCATTACAGAGCTACACCCCTAAGCGGAGAGGCACATGTCGCAACCACTGTAGGCTAATTATTCAGAATGATAACAATGACAATGAGGGGCAAAACATAGGCTACGGAGGCAAGAAGCATGAATAGTTTCAAGGTCCAGGTGACTATGGCCTAGGAACTTCACAAGATAGTATTCCTATTGGGCAAGGAGGTACTGCTGCCATCCACAGACCCCACTGGGCTTCACAACGATTTTTCTACCTTGTCAACCTTGATAGCGAAACTCAAGAAAATCCCGAACCCTATCGTCGATCTTACTACTTTTGAGTAGTGCTTTTTACTATTGTGTAATATTATGTAATCTCTTTCAGTTACTAGTTCGCTGAAAAAATATCGATTTAGGTGACTAAAAATCTTCTCTAAACCCAATTATGGCTATATTATTTTTTTATTTTGCTTATTTTATATGACAATATAAACAGAACAATACGTGTATATTTTAAACATTTTTTTCAATTTTTTTTATCCAAATTACAATTTTCAATAAAAATCGGGGTACTAATCGGTCGATTTAGTCGGAATCGATTCGAATAATTGGATCGGGCCAGGACCGACTAGTTAGCCCGATTTGTTCTTTTGAACACTGGTGTTTTGAGTTAAATATTCATTTTTTAAATTTTTTTTGTAAAAATTAACTTTTAGGTCGGGTCTAGATTGGGTTTCGGTTCTTCATAATCAATTTGGGTCTAGGTCGGTCCAAGTCCCATAATCTATTTTCGCTTCAGGGCCCAACTCGACCCAACCCGACATGTGCCATTGCCACCACTCGCCAAGGATACTTTGTATCATAAATTTCTATACGTGGTCTCTATATAACTTCAGTTCGAAATTAACTCGTTATGTGGGGCTAAGTGTCGCTCTACTTGATGAGCACCCATGTATACCATTTGGGAAAAGTTTATATAGAGCCGAGGCTCTAAACAATCAAATTAGAACCCACATCAAAAATTTTATTAAAAGAGTTTATTTTGATGCCCAACTATCCTCAAATTGATCATTTCAACATCAAGATATATGGATATGAGAAAAAAAATGGATTTTAAGTTTTGAAAATAGTACATTTTGTAACGTATTTTTGGACTATCAATTTTCAAGATTTTTAAGTTTTCATAGATCTGCCGATCTACACTATTTTTAAAATTTTAAACTTTATAAATAAATATGAAAATACATTTTAAAGCTATCACAACGATCTCCAATATTGAAACGATATAATTTGAAGGTAGATACTAATTTCATTATTTAAAGCCTAAGATCTATAAAAACTGCACCCCATTTATAACATTTTCTTCTACGAATGATGATTATATATGGACCACAAGGCGATAATCTATCCTTAGTCATCAATCTACTCTGATACCAAAGGCCGTGTTTGATTAGTAAAAGTTTCAGTTAAATGTCTTACTTCCATGTTTAATATTAATGTATGGAAGCTGTAAAGTGGAAAGGCGACCGTTTCTTGTAATGTTAAAATAGGTTCATCTTTTGGAAGACCTCTCTTTTATAAAAAAAATGTTGGAAGAACAATGTCTCATAATTTGTGAGAGAGTCCCTTGTGCTCCAAAACAAAAAAAAATAAAAATAAAACTCCACGTGTCAAACACACCAAAAAAAAGTCTGAAACTAGAAAGTGCGAGGTTAGAAAGTGAGAGGAAGAGAAACAGGGCAGTATTCACTTGAATTTGCAGAAGAAGAAACAGAGAATCACTGATCTTCCATTGAAGGCGTGTTTGTTAACTAGAAGATGGAACTTACTTGTTCCTGCAGCAGTTTCATGTTTGATAAAAGCAAGTACGTTAAAATGGAAACCAGGAACTCACCTCTTGCGGTAACTTACTCGGAACTCACCTTGTTACCTCTCTACTTAGGCTAAGAACACGGTACATGAAAAGGGTATCTCGCTAAGGCTTAGACACAGAGCAGAGACCATCTCGCGCCTTCGCGCCTACAGGCCTCCTCACAAAGGTACATCTCGGTTTTCTCTCTGTCCCCTGAGTTTTTTCTCTCTCCCCTGAGTTTTTTCTCTATCCCATGGTTTTTTTGCTCTCTCTGATTTTTTTATCTACGTTCGGAACATGGTGAAAATGGATCTAGGGTTTTCTCTGAAGATTGTTTTGCGGTAAATTGTTCTCTGTAGGGAAAAAATAATTTGGCTGTTTTTTTTTTTGGTAAACAGTTCTCTGTAGAAACCTTGCCCCCCTTCCCTCCCTTCAAGCCTTCCTCTCTTCACTCCAGCTACATTTCACAGTTCTCTCATTTTCTAATTCTTCTTTTCATCTGGTTTTTTTTACTACACAGGTGACAATCATAACCATTTGGTGCCCCCTTTTCTTTTTTTGTGACTGCTATCATCTGAGAATGAGATAATCAATGAGATTGCTTAAATTTGATTCATGGTTAGCTTATTTTTTTCTTCATTGATAGTTCCTTTGTTGGTCGTGAAGAAAAGAGAAAAAAAATTGCAGTATTTCTTTCCTTTTTGCCATAGGTTTAGATTAAGCTTACTTTTTATTTTTCGCTATCAAGCATAGGGTTTTATCTGACCATTGAGAATGTAGTTATAGAATCAGCGAACAAAAAAAACAACAACTTGTTATGGATTGACTGGAATTTTTTGCAAATAACAACATTTCTGAAGGAAATCAGCAGGAAATTTGTTGTGGAATTTTAGCTCAGGAAATGGTTGAAGAATCCAATATTCAATTTAATTAATCCTGACTATTTGATGTATAGAATAGTTTTTCTAGGCAAAACAGAACAAATCATTGCCATGAAGTTTGAATGAGAGAAAATTGATTATCTTTGATGATTGAGGTGAATTTGAGTTATGATTGTGATTGGGATAATTGTGAAATATTTAAAGGTTTATTGCTTCTAAAGTTTGTATAACTCTTTCATATGACTGAACTATCCAAAAAAGAATGTCAATGTTGCTTACCATTATAATGTCAATGCTGCTCACTATTATATAGTTTATATTATGTTATCAATTGAAAACTGGTCCTTTATATGGCTGTATTGGACTTTTTTCCTCACGAATGAATATATCGATGGTAACATAGCTTTAGATGTTTGATGCTCTCTTTTGGTATTTTCTAATGATGTTTGATAAACACATAATAGTAATAATATGGTTATTCTGTCAGTGTTTGTAGACTACAGAGTAAGGCTTGTTATGTAACTGATTAAAGAGTATTTTGTTTGTGTGTGTAGACTACATCGTTATTTTGTCTGTGTTTGTAGACTACAGTGTAAGGCCTATTATGTAACTTGGATTCCTTATATTCTAGCAGATTATCAAAGACAAACGCAGAACTTCTTTAACATTTTAGCAGGTTATCAAACACAGAAACCCAGAACTTCTTTAACATTCCAGCAGGTTATCAATCACAAAAAACCAAAACTTCTTACAGTAGCTTATTTCTTTTCAGCGAAGAAGAACCTCCAATTTTCAGGGAACATTTACCTTCCAGTTATCAAACATGCCCTGAGAGAGAGGGAAACACTCACACCTTTCATTGTGAGAGAGAGGGGGAAATGAGGGGCGGCTACTTGGAAGAGGAAGATGAAGAATCAATTCCCAACTTTCTCCTCCACCCCCCAACAGCCACCCCATCTGCGATCTCCAACGCCAACAGCCACCACCAGCACAATGGGGGCAGTGGCGGCCTTGCTCCCTCCAAATCCACCGTCTATGCCAGCAACCTCGACTTCTCCCTCACAAACTCTGACCTCTTCACCATCTTCTCCACCTTCGGCAAAGTCGCGAAGGTCACTGTCCTCAAAGACCGCGTCACCCGCCGGAGCCGAGGTGTTGCCTTTGTCCTCTTTGTCTCCCAATCTGATGCTCGCGCAGCTGCTGCCAGCCTCAATGGGAAGACCCTGAATGGCCGGACGATAAAAGTCTCTATCGCTGCTGACAATGGGAGAGCGCCGGAGTTCATACGGCGGCGCGTTTACAAGGACAAGTCGCGGTGCTACGAGTGCGGAATGGAGGGGCATTTGTCGTATGAGTGCCCAAGCAATCAGTTGGGCCCGAGGGAGAGGCCAGCCCCTTCAAAGAGGGGGAGGGGGAGGGGAAGGGGGAATGGAAGAATGGGGGATTTTTCAGAGGAAGATGAGGAAGATGAGGGGAGATTTGAGGAGGATAATTGGGCCTCAGTGGTCGAGACTAGCGGAGTTGAGGAGAGGGATGAGAGAAGGGAGGAAAATAAGAGGCACTCTGCCAAGAGGATCAGCTATTTCAGCGATGAGAGTGGAGAGGAAGACTAGATGAACAACAATTGAACTGCCTCTTTTGGTAACTTCTCTCTCTCTCATTCTCTGTATGCTGAGGTGTCGCAAATGGATCTTTAGGTAACTGCTCTCTCTCTCCTTCTCTGTATGTTGAGTTGTTGAAAATGGAATGGGAATTGTGGGAGATATAAGCGGGGAAGTTGGGCGAGATTTCTATTACTGACAGGGTTTATGGCAAGAAATAGAGAGGAGAATTAGTTAGTTAATTTTTTTTGTCTTTGTAATCAAATTTGTGTTGGCTAACTTAAAACATAGTCAAGCAATGTGATTGTACAAGTAATGAAATGTTAGTGCAGTGCAATGATCTTGTCACAGGGTTATTATTTTTGTTTTCAGCTGGGGAGTTGTTGAGAAGCGTATATATTTGTCTTTACCAGCTCATTGTTTATGTTTTTAAAATCCTTTTATATTATAACTTATGAGATATTATATGATCTTTTAGCTGAACAATGGAGGCGTTTCCTGATGTTGAAGGTAGTTAACTTGTTACATTCTTTGTACCCAAAATTTGATTTTTGTGGTGGTTCCTTTAATGATTCTGTTTCATTATCCTGGTTGAATTCATGTTCATTTTCGTCACACACAAACAAGCATGTACTATTAAATAGAAGCATGTTGTGTATCTTATTACCGAGCAGAATCCAAGTAAAAAATTGGAACTATGGAAGGAATTGTTGTATTGCAGATTGCTATTGCTTTCTAGCATCCAAGGCATATGGTTTTCACTTGAAGCCATAGATTGCCCTGTTATTTGACCTATGCGGATCGTGTAGATCCTCATATGAGGAAGAGATCTCTATGGAGAGAGATATCTTCTCATACTGAAACAAAGGAACTCTCGCCATATATGTTTCCTCTTCGTATAGACTTCTCTGATACATTAAAAAACCATTTCATGAATTACAGCAACAACATGAAACTTTGCAATTTTCACAAGTACACCTCAAACTATTACTTATTCATTCCAATTCTTAGCAAACTGTGCACACAATTAAAACCCACCTCAATCTCATGATATTAAAAAACTACACATTTCAAACTCACCATCCTATGCAATTCATTGTGCCTTTTGTGTGTGTGTGTGTGTGTGTGTGTGAGAGAGAGAGAGAGAGAGAGAGAGAGAGAGAGAGAGAGAGAGATACGTACTAGTGGACGGGTAACGAAAAGGTAAAGTTAGTTACGTAGGTTACTTAAGTTTAAGAAAACTAATTAATAATTAAATTAAAAAGTTAAAGGGAAGGTAACGTAAGTTACGTACGGTACGGG